GCCCCTCACGCCGCCCCTCACGCCGCCCCTCACGCCGCCCCTCACGCCGCCCCTCACGCCGCCCCTCACGCCGCCCCTCACGCCGCCCGGAGCTGTGAGGGTGAGGGGCTGAGGGTCAGCGCCCCGCAGGGCGAGACCATCAGCTGCCTTTCATTTAAACCAAAGACAAGGGGCGGCGGTGCAGAAATGTCCTGGTTCGGTTTTAGGTTAATGGGAGTTTGAAAGGTGTTAGCCAAGAAATAGGATTTTTTTCACAGCGATCTTGGAAAGGAGAAGTCGTCGTTGTGTGAAGCTGAGATACTGCGTCAAAGGTGACTGCAGAAGACGCAGAAATAAATACACGCCCTTTCAGGGCCCGGAGTAGATAGGAACATGTCGATCCCAATATACATAAGATGCTCGTGTTTTTTACCCGTGCACACTAAAATTGCATTGTTTTTCTTTAAAAGCATTTGCACACTAGTGCTGGAAAAAGTATCTGAAGTGTTAGGTGCCTGCCTTAAAATTCAGTAAAGTAATGTTTCCCTGCAGTCTCTACACCTATTCCTTTTTCATCCATATCTTCTAAGTTAGCACTCAGCAAGGATACTGTAGAGTTCATATCTCACGCAAAAAGTTAATGGGTGCTGGCTTCTGGATACATCACCGGAAGTGTGGAGCAAGCACACGGCTACATTAAAGCTGTCTTTTGAGCTTCCATTACCCTAAAAGGTCTTCTGCTTTGTATCATAAATATTTGTAACTTGTGGTCATAACTACGAGCCAGCTGTCCTCCAGCTTTGGAACAGCAACATCTTAAATGTAACTAAGGTGCTATAAACTTAAATAATGCTTAATTTTTTATCTTGACTTTATAATAAATGTGTGTTTAACAGTCTGAAATGGTTTTAAACACAATAATGTTCAATGCAGTCTCTCTCTTTGCTTGGGGTTTACCTGACCTCTTTAGCTTTCAGAGGCCTGAAGAGAGACTTATGAACATACTTGTCTTTATGAATGGGGGTTGTATCTCTGGTGCCAGATCTTCAGCTGATACAGACTGTCACAGCTCTGTTGATTTAAATAGGTCCTTTGATTTACACAAGTTGTGGATCTGACAGCCCTCAATAGGACAGATCACATATTTAAAGGTAATCAAATGTGCAAGTGTTTGCAAGCTCAGAGCTGATTCACCTGGAGTTTTGTCCTAGTAAGAGCTGAGCGAAAGGTAGTTTAGTGTAATACTAGGGAGCATGAAATCATGTTAGGTCATCAGTTTTGTGGATGAAACATTGTCATATATAATAGAGAAGGTTCTGAATCTTTATATTTCAGATCAGATTCTACCCGTACGCCAAAACAACATTTAAATAAGTACAGGAACTCAGTGTACTGTATAGCTAAGGATGAAAGACTGTAACTATAAATGCCCTAATGTCAAGATGAAAAATGAGGGATGGGACCACCACGCTATTTAATCTGATTTATTGCTCAAGTAAGATATCAGTATCGAAGGTGTGAGATTGAGAGAGGAGCAACAAGTCAGCCATAGCTCAAGGTTGTCATGTGTTTCTTCTTCACACAGCAATATATAACATTTTGGTTCTGTGGACAGTTAACACAAAACTTGTTTCTACTTAATAACCTATCACCTTTGCTTAATTTTGCTACACTGGGCCTGTGTCTTAGCCACTAAGGTGACAGGTCATGTACTCATACACACACCTCTATTATAGCTTCTAGATCCCTAACCCACTCTATAAGCCACATAATAATGTGGCTCAAGCCTCAAACTATTTTACCTAACATAATTTCTTACTCAAGACATATTCTTACTTATAACTATAGGAACATAATTTTATAATTTTTCTACCTAATATTTGTGTGCCTTTATCATTACATTAACCCAAGGTCTTTCGAAGGCTGCAGATTGAACCTTTCAGCATTTGTAGAAGTTTCTATTTTTCCATTTCCTACACCTTAGAAGTCATCTTTAAAGACTTGGTCCGATTAAATTTTGTAATACTTAGAGTATTTTATATTTTGCAACTTTGTGCAGAATATAAAAATACTGCCTGTGTCATCTGACTCCTTTGATGCACTGCATTAAAATTCCTATGTCTAAGTACCGTATCATGCAGTCAACTTTACTTCTCTTCTATTAATAGTTTGAAATTAGGTCACTCTTGTAAGGATAGGCTAAGACTGTACAACTGATTTAAAAGAAATTACCTGTATATAAAAGTTTGGGTTCCTCTCTCATGCTCATCTACAGTGACACCATTCCTTATCTATAATCAGTATTTTTTCTGTCTGTTCTGGCATATGTATTCTATGCTGGCAGGTTTTTGTAGATTTGTTTATAGTAACCCCTGCTGCAAAAGATTAATACTGACATTTCTCCAAGCCTTTAAAAAGATCTTTACCCAATTATTTCTGAGTTCAGCACAAAAGAACCAACCAGATGTAAATCTAAGTATATAAAATTTGAAACTCCCTAATCTGGACAATTTTCAGTAAAATTAGTTGAAAGATACAACAGCTTTTCCTCTCTCATGCATAGGATTTACTTTCTAATGCAACACAATATAGTTGCAAGGTAAAATAGCTTCTCATTTTCTACAGTTATGTCTTCTTCTTTGTGTTATTGTTCTTTGATAAGGGCTAGACTTGACACCAATAAAGCAATGTCTCAACTGCTACATGTAAATGTTTTCAGAGTTCCACTCAGGAAAGCATGTGCTTATGTTTATCTCTCTTCAGGATAGCAAACTAGTAAAAAAGCAGATTAAAGCATAGGACTAAGTTTAAGCACAGATTACCCCTCTTGTTTCAGAAGGACTTAAGTGTCAGCCTATTAGAGTATTGCTCTCAATCAAATGTTTTCTCAAGCTTGGCTTTAAAAGCTTCAGCAAAAGGTATGTGTGTGGGTTTGTCTATAAGAAAAAGATCCATGTGTGCTCTGTGCTAGGCAAAAGCTGTGCAGCCATAGCTAGTGAAGCACTTAACTTCAAAACTAAAATGCCCTGCTAACAGCTGCAGCTTCAAGCTGCTTCAGCTTCCTAGCACTCTGCAAGCAGCACAAAATAAGCATCTACTTGCTTGCAAAAGAAACTCGAGGTATAGCCATACAGCCACATGAATTAGTGTACAAATATACGTGCCTGGTATGTTTTTTTCAAGCTATGTTTAAAGAGTATTATTTAGGCTGCAAAACTAAAAAAGCCATGCTTGGAGCTCCCTGTATAATCCTTACACTGCCCTTTGTGCAAATATTTACCGATGAATGGAGACATCGCATGGAAAACTGTAATAGCAGTGAACTAAAATAACCACAAGGAGGCAGAATAAAAATCTGATGAGCAACCTGGATTGTCTCTTTCCCCTCTGAGTCCTTTGCATTGCATTCTCAGCAGCATCCTTATATTACTGACTGCAATTTTCTACATCTGATAGACAGGTGAAAGTTAGATTGAGTATCCTGTATTACCAGTGAGGATTGAAACCTGTCTCTTTTCCACAGTTGACACAGTTCAACATAAAACCAGTCAAACGTGTCATTTTCACGTAGGGCGATGTATTATGGGTCCTAAGAGTGGTTGGGGGAAGAAACTCAGCATAGTTGTATTTTATTCTCTTTTTCTGAGATTTGGAAAATTGACACTGCCTGAAATGTCAGGAAGGGAAATGAACCAGTGGGGCAATCTGCTGGGTCTCGCTCTCTCCTCCTTGAGAACTGGAGAAAATCCAGTCCTTCACAGTGTTCCCAAAAAATTGCCATTTGGGGCAGATGCTGGATTACTTATGCTGTGAGAGTGCAGTCTGGTTCTTGGCCATGTTGCAGTAACATGCTGAGGGTCATATGGTCTGTACTCAGGTTTCATACAGAATGTAATCCATACTTTTTTATACTTCTTTATACTTCTGTTTCCTACCTCAGTGCTTTGGCAGCTTGTGAGTTAGCTGCTTCTGCAGCCATTACTGCTGCTTTGGTGGTGGTGTGAGCTGAACCATGAGATCCTCATGTGTTTTCATCATCTTGGCAGGCTGACAAAAGTTTCCTTGGGAGTGTGACTGGGAGAAGAGAGTCAGTGATTTTTAACAGTCCATTTCTCAACAAAAAGTGACAACATGTAATGACATAAAGGTATATGTACATAGTGGAGGCCAGAGAGACAGGAGAACTCTGCCAGTGCACTTAGCTTGTCAGGCACCGGAAGGCCCCAATCCAGAAGCAAGATAACTACATGAAGCTGAGCTAATGAGCACTGCTGAGAGGCAAGGTATGTTATTTTGGGCATGGCGCCACATTAGCATGACTCTACATCTTCCAGACAAGAGTTTGCAAAATCTGGGCAGCTCAGAGTGTGAGCAGAGTTTGCTTGTGTCTGTCTGCACGTGTCTGCATGACCTTGCAGAAGAAAAAGCATCACTTTCCCAATTAATTAGCAAAGACTTTTTGCAAACAATATGGATGTAAGAGTATCTGCCAAAAAAAAAAGCCAAATAAAAAAAAACAAAAACAAAACCAAACAAACAAAAAACCAACAAACAAAAAAATAACACCAAAAAACCACCCTTTGCTTCAACAGCTCAATTTCTTTTTTTCTACCAGGCCCAGAAAGAAAGGATGATATTGTCAGAGTGTATCTGATGAGTTTCTGAATTGCTCCAGAAAGCCCTGGTATTTGTCCTCACAGCCTTGTTGTTTCCCTGTTGTTAAGGACAAAGGCACAGACAAATTACATACCTTGTGCAAACATAGACAGCTGTACCAGCACCTTCAAAATATATTGGTATTCCATAGATGAACAGTTAAATATACAGCTGCCGGAAGGAAGATAGTGTAGTTCTTCTTCCAACTGATCCAGCAACCTTTTGTAGAATTACTCCTGAAGTTCTGCTATATGCTTACATGCCCATTCTATATACATAAGAGAAGGAAAAAATAATTAAGTCTTGGAAGGAAGTTAAAGGGTACGGAGGATGTTTGGACTGAAGTGTAAGCTATTGTTCCTGGGTTACTGCATGCATTTCAAAGAGAAGGTCTCTTCAGAATCAGAAGCAAAGGTGTTTTAGGGATTGCCAGATGGAATTCTACTTCTGTAGAGATCAGTTCTGATTTGTGTAAATAAGCATGCTCAGGAAGATAGTAAATTTCTTCTGAGCTGTGAGAGTTTTCTGGAAAAAGTCACATTTGGGAGAATCAGAAGTAAAATCCTTCACTCAGTTAGACCACTGAACTATCAAAACCCATTATTCTAGTACTATTATCCATATAAAAGGATTTATCCACTTTATTTTACCCCATATACACACACACATACACACTCACACACACATATATGCCTATCAGTTTTCTCTGTGTGGGACTAGGATACCTCAAAGGCAAATCGGAGTCTCCAGTTTCCTGGAAGCACACAGGTCAAGACTTTCAATAGCCATGAGGCCACATGTCTTGTTACAGAAGGACTGAATCCATCACTTTTGAAAAGAGGCAAGTTGGCAAGTGGAGGAGCTTCAAAATGTGTCTATTATTCCTGTCCCTTCAAATAGCAACTTAAGTGCTTACAAAATTGATCATAAGCTTTTAGGAAACTACGAAAAGTGCTTCATTCTAGGGAACATAAATCTGAATCTCAGACTCAATTTCCTCCTCTGCTACTGATGTCCTGTGTGACCTTTGACAAGGGACTACTTTTTGTGCCTCGGCTCCTCATTGTTAAAATGGCCTACTAATAATGCTTCCTAAAATGATGTGTGAGGATGAACAATGAATATGATATGCTCAGGCATTTGCACATAAAGGAGATGGATAAGCATGCCAGATTTTAAAAGGAAATTTCTGACAGAAAAATTTTGACCAGTTCCAGTCAGTGCATGGACACTAACAGTGAGACAGACCTGCTTGCCTTGTTCACTGTAGGTCTGTTACTGGCACAACAGTTTATACAGGCATACATAAATATTTCTAACCAAGAAACCTGTGAATAATTTTGAATCAAGAAACTTTATATGTAGTCAAAATGTAGCCATAGTACTATATATCCTGATACAGATCATCATTTGGAGAACTTCTTTCATTCTCAGTCATCATTTCCTCTCTCTTCCCATACTTGAAAACAAGCTGACGCTTTAAAATCCAAAAGAGGGCTTTTATGTGTGTGGTCAAATCCACATAACTGTAAAGATTAAAATAAGAGTCACTTAAGGCCTTTATCACCTGCCTGAAATTCCACTGTCTTCAGCAGAGCTGCAGCTGGAGATGAATTAGTCTGATCCTAAATGAGAAAAATATGCAGCTCCTGGCTGCAGGGAGAAATGTGTTTTTTGATCCAGCCCTTCTGCCTTCCCCAGGAGAAGTTAGAGCTTGCTTTTGGTTTGTGTCAGTATTTTCACTAGCACGGCAGACTGCAGTTTTGTTAAGAACACTTGGAAAATGGCTGTCTTAGCAATCTAGGGACCATTCCTTTAAACTGCCATCAGTCTTGCAGACTCAGTCTCAATATCTACTCAGTTTGAAGTGTGCACAGTGTTTTGTAAGGGGGTCAACATTTTGGAAGTAACATAAACATATGCAATGTGTTAGCTTTGCTAAATTTAAACCAATGCTCTTAGGTTCAAGAAACTCTGACATGGCAACCTCAGCTTTAATAGTACTAGAAGGCCTAGAAAATGGTTGCTTGTATTTGTCTCAGTTATCCTGCAGCATTGCAGGTCATTCAGTCTCTGACAAGAAGTTCCAAAAATTCCAGTGAATGGAGAATGTTGACACATAAAACTTGGTTGCTATTTCTGTAAAATAACCATTACAGTAGCTAACTATATATAGACAGAAGTAATTGCTTCTGTAAATAAAATACCAGTGAACACATTACAAGATTAAAGAGAAACTTTGCCAACACAGTTATTTGGCGACTCCCACCCTTATACACATGATGACTTTGCATTCATAGCTCTGCTATGCCACAATACTTTATTTAGGATATGTGTGGCATATTATACTTCCTCACATTCCTAAATAAAGTGATTTTCCATTAGCTCCTTAGTTCTCATTTTAGCTGGCCACTTCACCCTTCATTAGTGAAGAAAAGTAAAGTCATTTCACCAAATATACTGCAAATAATATGCAATTATTTGTTAATCTCATGTTATAGTTAGGATTTATACAGGTACGATAAAGGCTTCAGGTTCTCCTGGACATTTGGATGAATTTTTAGAAAATATTGATTTGAAACTCTCAAATAGCAGTTATAGGTAGCAAAAGCGAGGTAAATTGATGGAAGATCAGATCAGAAGTGATGTAGCTTAATAAATGTGTCATCCATCTTTGAGAGAGAAGGTGATATTAAATAGCTTGAATACCATGCTGCTTTAGGAAAAGGCACCAGTTAAATATTTTAAGGTAGGTTTGCAGTGATCTCTGCCATTCAGTGAAGAGTTATTGTCCATAAACTCTGGGAGTTTTGCTTCCTACAGCTGGTAAAATTAGAAAGCCTGCTGCTCATCTTTTATATCTTTTTTGCTAGGGATTTAAAAATTTCTTAAGTGAGAAGTATAGAAGGCACCTATATAAGAGTTTCAAAGTCCCTTATTTTTTCTTTCCTAATTTGACATTATTCAGGTGAAGCTGGTTTTGCACCATCAGCTGGTTTTGGACCTCTCAGAAGAACAGTATTCCATTCCATTCATAAAATACCTTTTGCTGATTTGGTCCTTCTTGTTGTTTCTATACTGTCATAAGAGCTGGAAGCTGCTGTGAGGGAGCAGGATCCTATATAGCAAGCTATAGATAGAAGTAAAAACAGATGGAAATTGTGTATTTTTGTAGGTGGCACAGTAAAGGAGAGCTTTGAGCATGAAGCCCATTGGGCAGATGGGCAAATACCTTCAGGGAGCTATTAGGTATATGGACAACATAGGAAAAACCCTTCTGTACTTGAATTAAAACATAAGGAAGGAGTTTTCCTGCTTCTAGGAGTCAGCAATCAGAGAAAGGTGTTGACATCTTGTTAGGAAGGAGCCATTGTAGGCGGTATGGGGATGGGCTGCGTAGGAACCTGAGAGTGAAAATCAACAGCATGAGTTTATGCAAACAGGGATAAATGAGAGTAACCAGCATGTTGTTTTAGGCAAAAACCCACACAAATCCTTACAAGATTCTGAATGAACAGGAGCAGCACTGGAATATATCTGTCATAACTGAAAAAGCAGGCTGATGCTCCATTGTATCTTGGACAGGCTGTTATTGAAGATTTCACTGCCAAAAAGATCCACAAGACAAACTCTGAAGATAATTCAGAGTAGAAGTTGACACCTATGTTATTAGACCTGACAGTAGTGTGACAAGAAAGCAGGTAACAAGAATCATTATGGAAAACAAAATTGTATTAACTTGTTTGTTTTGTCTCTTTGTGTTTTAATACGTTTTGCAGCAATTCAACATCAGCTTCTCCAAAAATGCAGATATTCATGTTCTCAACTTGTTGTCAAACAAAACAACATCAAGCAACAACCCATACTTCAGCAGTTTTACTTCTACAACCACAGAAATAAATGTTGCTAATGGGCAATAATGCAGTGTCACTGAAGTATCCCAGTGGTAAGTACACGTGATACCAAAGAGCGCTCCCACTACTCCCCCTTGGTTTACCTAGATGGATCTCTTCTACCCAATCTGAGAAACACTTTTCCATAAAGTGTCTTTGTGAAAAAAAAAAATTAACTGGAAAGTTAAAAGAAACAGAAAGATGCAGGTCCCAGTGCTTGGCCCATTAAAGGAGGTACGGAGTGAGTTTCATGTGGAATTTGGAAGGACCTTCCATAGAATTAAATAAATGTTTATTTGCCCTTCTAAGAAAGCTTTGGAATGCTGTTTTGTAAAGAAGGACAGAAGCAGGTATTTTGAATAATTGTTTGAAGGACAAATTTAGAGATCATTCCTACCCAGGACAATTCTCAGGAACATTTACTTTAATCATGCAGTGTAAATGAATCCAGTATTTCCCATCTATTGAGGATGGAGCATTTGTGCCTTTCAACTGCAGTAATTGCACCCTTCAAGCACGGTAACTTGCTACTGCTTAGTCTGACCTACCTTCAACTGAAGCTCCCTAAACTCACTTATGTTAATGGAGATTTAGTTCAGAAAAGGTATGCACATGTCCTTTTTTTAATCTGAAGCACTTTGCTGCAGTTACAGACACATTTTTAACCTGCCCATATGCTTCACTACAAAGCTTCATGGCTTCTGAACAGCTGTGATAGCACTATAGGTTGCCTCCTGAAATAAATAAGCTCTCACCTGCAAAGCTAGGAAAAAAATCCCCATTAAGGATATGTTAGCCAGCTTGCAATAATTATGTTATCATCCACTTCATGCAACCCACTAATAATCAAGAAAGAGAAGAAAACCATCCACATTTTATTTTCTATGTGGTGATGCACTGTCCTTATGGGAAGAGGCGAGTGGCAACATGTCACAGCTTGCCAACTTCAAACACCTTTGTGAATGCTGTCTCTCATCAGTGGACTTGTATTCCCGAAGTAAAGAGTATTAGGTTTCAGTGAAAGACCTGAACTGTTCCATTAATGACCTGATGGATGAGGTAAGGTTCAGTGGTTTTTACTCAAAGCCAGACTTGAAATATTTGAACTCCCTCTCATTTCTGCTTGTCTGTTGTCATGATAGATATTCATGTGGATCCAATCATCAAATAAGTTTCTTAATCAACAGAAGACATCTTAGCTCTTTCCAAAAATACAAAATAGAGGTCACTTAAAATTAGTTAACTGAATCTGTTATACCTTAGTAAAGTGCTGGACCTTTCCAGAGTGTTAAATACAATAAGAGCTTTGCCTCATGATCTTGGCATCATCATCCTTGGACACCAGAATTGTAATATTTAGATATCTTAGTGCATTTAAAACTGACAGTTTCTGTTCTTGTAGAGAGAGATGATAAACAAACCTAGATAAAGATTTCTTGAGGAAAATATCTCATTTTAAACTCAAAACTTTGAAACGAGTATATTAATTTTTCCAGGCTTGGCCTTTTTTAGGTCACACCAAACTAAAAAGAAAAACTTCCCAAAACAAACTAGATGTGATGTCCTTTGCCATTATTGAAATATTTGTGCATAAAATATGCTACTGAAATGTCTGAATAAAGTTATGTTATTAATACAACATAATTTAGAAATGTTTGGAACTATATTACTCATGCTTTTATATTAAAATACATTAAACTAGAAAAGTTTCAGTCCAAGTGAAGTATTTTGTAGAATTACAAATACATTAGCAAAAGTTGGGAAAAATACATTAGAATTATAGATTAGATTACTTTGATTATACTGGATAATAGCTGTTTCAAATAAATAATAGCTAATTATAAGACCTTATTAGAGTTTCTAACCTAATTGCTAATCCCCCTTCCCTTTCTCTCTTTCTTAAGACTCCTAACTGCAGATCACAGCTTTCTCTATTGTGCAGCAAGGATAAGCTACTTCCATATGTTGGAGGAAGAGGTACATAAAGGAGCCACTCATTTCATTTTTAAGTATGTGTTTTTCCTAATAAAAAAAGGGGCAACATTTCTCCCCAGACTAAACCTAGTATAAAAAATCAAATACAAACTGAAGCATAGAGGCACAAACCAGAAATCTCATTAATTTGAAAAGGAGACAAAGTTATGTTAATGTTAGCATAAAAAAAAGAGATAAAAAAGTAGTGGGGGAAAATGAAATTGAAGCAATGAGATACTGTGTGATGAGAATAAATAAAAAGTATATTATATATAAATTTAATAAATAACTAATGTAATATATAATATAAAGAAATAAAATATATACTTTTAGAAATTTATTTTATGAAGAATGAAGGTGTGGGGACTGTAATATCTACAAAAATTGTAGTTATTTATAAGCAGAAACATTAGTTTTTTCCTTTATGCTGCTTTTTTAAGCATCATATGTAGACATCTTGAAGCAACAATTTCCTTTTACTTTGCATTAGGATGGGTGAATAATACTGGATTCCCCAGACTCAGATAGAATGTTAAAACCATGGATATTGAAGATCTCCCAAGGGGCTCCTTCAGTTATATTGATATTAGAGAAGGGAAACAGTTTTCATTATAAATACTTCAGAAAAGTGCAGTATCCTTATGACATATCTCTTCACTAAACTACTTTGACAGTTATGATCAAAATAAACAAAAAAACCCACAATGGTTTTATTAATATTGAATATTTTTTTCAAAGAAACACTGTAACTAATCTAATTTAAACTTTTTAATTAACTATCTGGGGGAAAAAAGAGAGTTATAACTTGTCCTATTTTGGATTACTTAAAAGTCAGCAGCTCTACATTTGATTCCTTTGGATCAGTTACCTATTTGACTTTACAAAAGCAGCATTAGTGCAAGTATACTTCTATTAGTTCATTTAAATTCACATAACAAGAAGTAACTGACATATTCATATGAGATTTAGATGAAGGCAACCAATTCTCACCCAATTCTTTTGGAGTGTCTGCTTTTCTTAAGAAAACCCCAACCAAACCAAACCAAACCAAACCAAACCAAACCAACAACCAATCAAACTGGCTATCATATTAAAATTTTAAATTCCATGACAGATTATTTTCAGTTGAGACCTAGATTGCTTTCATTTTTATACTGAAAATTTCTAGTCAGTGGTGCTTTCTTTTTGCCCACAAATACCTAATATGTCCAAAAGCAGAAATATTTATGATAGAGGGTATATTTTAAAAGTTGTTTGCTAAACATAGATTTTTCCTTGCTTTTATAGAATAGCTATCATATTAAAAAATGAAAGAATTAAAGCAAAGAATGTGCTTTAAGGATAGATGTGTGAAAGTTTTGTAGATACCTATGAGGTTACAGAGGTATAATTACTAATTAGGTATCATTAACTCAGACATCTAGTGCTTTGCTCAGACTCAGAAATTCCCTATTACCTGCGTGTAATGGGAGTGGATCATGCCCTGTCTTGTTACAAGTGTTCTGCTATGGGATCACATCTTTTGTTTTCTGCCCCTCTTGTGCTGTTACAGCAAAGTGGGATTACACTGAAGGAAGACATTCTTTGGATTGTTAAAAGCTTCTAAAATACAGAACAGAAAACACTAAGAAAAAGAGATGAAGCTCTCAGTTGGACATATAGTTAGGTGAGTATGTTTGGGGCATGTAAAAGCAGAAGAAAAATGGAGTGCAACAGACTTAAAACCACACCCACAAACATAAAAAGGAAAAAGAAAAGTAAAATAAACTGTTGAGGAGTAATTATGACCTGCTAATCCTTCGTGTCTTTATTCTGTTTGTGAACTCTGAAGTCATGACTCATGACAGTTTAGTAGTCTACTGTTTTCTATTTTGTGTTTGTCAGTAGAGGCCCATTAAACATAATTTTTTTGTGGGAAAAGCCATCTCTGTCAGTCCACGCCTCAAAGGTTTCACCCAGCACTGACATCCCTCCTCCATTTATGAGAAATATGTTAGAGCAACAACCATTGTTGGACTGTCCATGACCTTTTAAAGTTGAGACTGCCACCTATACTTGAAAATGAAACTAGGCTTTAGCAACTTCAAAGACATATTTAAACACTTGTGAGCCTATGTACATTTTAGTTCTCCAAAGATATACGCGGGAATAAGTTTCTTGAAGAGTCCTGAATTCCAATGACTCAGATTGTATACTGCAATGCACATACATATAGGTCTTTTTAGGCTTCGGCCATCATTGTAGTTTATTAATGAAACAATTAAAAAATGCAGCTCAGCATATCTTACATGCCCTGAGTGACAGCACTCCAATACTGTAAATCATTACATCACATCTTTATTCCACCTTTATTTATGAATTTTACAAAGTTTCACTTCTTGAATACTACCATGGGAAAAGGCAGGAGGAAGGCTGTGAGAATAACACCATAATGGTTTTATAAGTTACTCTTTTATTGATTACATTTGCAAGTTTAAGCAGGTGATTAGGACTAAATTCTGAAAATTGTCCACTTAACCTGAGTTACCTAAAATATCTCTAGTCAGATATTTTACAATTAAAACACTCAAAATTCAGAGGTACTTAAAAAATGCAGCCATTTACTCATTCTCTTTCTCACTCCTCTGTGCTGTGAAGCAGTGATACCACCTTCTTTTGAAAAGAATGTTCTTTTTACATTTCATTGATACAACTGAACCAAAAGTATGCATAATTTAAAATCATCAAGAAAATTAACAGAAGCTGGTAATGAAAGTTACGCCTTGGGCACACTTATTACTCCTCTGCAACTTATGAACTGTGAAAGGAGCTTGCCTTGGAGTGTTACACGTATTAGTGATAGATTCTTCAAACCCTGGACAGGGTTCAGGGTAAGACAGTAGGACGCATGCTAGCAATGCTTCAATAAAGTACATACACACTGCCACTATTCTCTGGAAACATTACTGTATCTGCTGGTGACTAAGCATGTAAGTATCAAGCTGCCCAGACCTGGAGCTTCCCTTATTTTTTCAAATTTCTTCTGGTGTACTCACACCAAATAGGTCAGCAGAACATTAAACCCTTCTAGCCTGATATGCTGTATCCTGCCATGTATTGTGTGGCTTCCACTCCTGTAGTGTATGAGAAAGCAGAGAATCAATTCAATTTCCTGGAGGCAAACATGCTCAGATCCCTTCACAGTTTCTTTTGGGGAAGTCCACCTCAAATTAAGAACAGTCTTTAGAAGCAACAATATTTTGGAACTGTATGGAAGAAACAAAACCAGCAAAAGCCAAGAGAAGTATGGATAATTGACAGCTGACTGAAACGTACATTGGGTGTCCAGCCCTCAGTGGGCTGTAGCACCCACTGGCCAGCTTTTCTGTCATGAAAGGAATCACATTCAGCACTAGACTGTGTTTGCTCCTTGCCTGAAATTGTGTAGCTAGTAGAGAAGAAAGTAAGGAAACAGACCAGTCCTTTTTCCTACTAACTGTGCATGGTTGGTTTGGTTTGGGTTTTTTGATACAATACAAAATCATTCATTCAAGCAGCATATTCACTATGGGGTTTTTTTCTGTGTGCTGCTCAAGAAAGCAACAGCCTGGAAAGGTAAGACTGACCTTCATGTTCCTGTCCTCTTCTTGTCTTGATGCAGACAGTGAGCTGTGCTCTTTAGAAAAAATATCTTCCAAGGCTCACCATGGATGTGTGTAAAGGCTGATCTAGGTCAGGGGGTTGTCTATCGAATCCTGACCCATTCCACAATTATTTCCTTGTCACTCTGTACCAAAATTACTTCCAGCAATGACAATCTAATCACTGAGTCTGAATAGAAACAGACTCCTACTATAGTCCTGAGCAATGCCAGGTAGCTCCAAGTTTCCCTGCCCCAGAAACCTGGTGTAAATTCTCAAGATGACCACAAACAGACCAGAGCTCAGTTTTACTGTTCAGAAGTTTTTACAGCAATTCCTTGTATAGAATAGTAACAATCCTACAAATGGCAAACCCACAGTAAATGCTGTCAGCATACTCAGGTGAAGGTTGAGAGGAGATATGCAGGAGATGAAGTGGAAACTTATTTTTATATTTGGGGTACACATAGAAGTAGAGAAATTCCACTATATTTTACCAGAAAGATGTACAGTGCTAAATTTTTTTATATCAATTTTAAAAAATCACCATCCGCAACCAATAAAATAATAACACCTGCTCCCACAATGGAGAGTTCTGGGCACAGCTGTGTTTGTCTGACATCATACTGCTCTACAGCCCTGCCTGAGCCAAAAATCTCTAGTCAAGAAGTGACCTAAACATATGTTCTGCAACTGGAGAGGTATGTTTTTGTAGCATGTGCAGATATGCTTAAACTGGCTGTGATCTATCTAGCTCAGATAAGAGCTGCTGGGAAGGGGTTCAGTCTTGGCTAACAAGCCAGGTGCATACCTGAGAACAGGCTGGCCTGTAGACACTGCACTGAAGTCACCATGTCACCGTGCAGATGTACTCTGAGAGATTTATTCCCAGTGAAAGCTAACACACTCAGCTAGTGTTCAATATGTTCTTTTAAAAGAGGTTGGGAAGATTACCAAAAGTATAATTACACTAGAGAGTTGGAGACCTAATTAATCACACATTGACAAGATCCCTTATGCTGAGACATTTCACAGAGAGCATTGGGAGTGCCTTAAGTAACTTCCTCAGGTACATACTTTGGGAGTGAAGAATAAATTAGTAGGAATTTGGCTGGACACAAAGGAAACCTTGGAACGGAGCTGGGGGCTGGACCAAGCTCACTGAAACTGGTCTTTTTCTTCATTTTTAGAAAAGATGGATTAGCTATTGGTATACCCAAAAGATCATTTGCATCATGGCAGGAGTGAAAATGCTCTTGAGGATGCTTTTTTCCTAACTGTGCCTCCAAAATTAGATACTAAATAATTTGACTTTCAAAGATAGTCAGCATTTGACAGCAATCTTTGATTTCTTGCCAGGAAGGGACTGATTCCACTAACACCCAACTATTGCACTTGCATAAGCATATCCATTAAGTTCAAAGGAATTTAGTGGATATACTCATACTGGTGAATATCTTCATATGCTTAGAATATATTCTTGTCCAGAGTGGATTCAAAGTTCCTCAGTTTTCACAGGGCTTATAATGAGGGTTCTGGCTTTCATTTCATTTTTTACATAAAGGTGTTTCCAAAAATCTCTCCTGCATTCAAGCCTAATTTTATTCCCTGCCTATCAGTTTAGTATAACTCTAAGAAATTATGCTCCTTTTAAAAATAAAACATCACAGAATCTCCTCTCCTTTCATATTGCTGAACTTAGAAAAGCCTGAAAATTTGCGGACTTTTCTCCAATGTTTGAAGACTGGGACTATAAAAAAACAAATTCTATTGAAAATGTAGTGAAACTACCAATCTGGAGCAACAGCACCTCAAACCCAGATGCAATTGTGGCTGCAATAATAGAATTAAGCCTAACGCGTCTCCTGGCAGGACTTTACATCCTCTCTCCACCAGATAGTGCTGTTTCTCCACAGAGCTATGGAGGATGCACAGGCCAGGGAAAGGTCAGGGGCTGTCTGAGATTACAGGCTGCTTACAGCTTGCTCGTCCCTCCTTTCTGCTGCCACCGCCAGTACCTGAAACAGGGCAGGCGCAACCTAAAAAGGACTTGCGGGAGTAAAACCGTGCCTTGAGAGGCCGCTGCCTGCAAGTGACTGCGAGCTGGCGGTGCCATTGCTGCTGTCCATTATTAGTTTTATGTATCCACTTTCCTAAATAAAAATGAAAATAGAAGCTGATGCAATTCAAAAACCTGAGTTTTTACGGTCTCTCGGGGGTCTTTTCCTTTTCTAGTTGAGCAGCACTGAGAGCAGCCCTGACACAAGGGCTGTTTTCTCTCAGAGTGCTGAACATAGGGGCTTGTACTGGCAAAAGTTACTTCTGGAAGGTAGACAGATCACCTTAACCTGAGTCTAGATACCCTGTAGACCCTCCATGTATTTAAAAAACAACCCCACAGATGGGAAAAATAGCTAAAACATAGTAAAACTTCAGGCCATGGTTTACTGTGCTGCTGCAGCCTTTGTAACAGAGTACAGAAATGCAGCTGGAGTACTTCTTACTGCCCTTCTGCAGGAGAAATACTGCAAGTGCTGCGTCTTCCTCTCCAGACTTCCCCATGTGAAACAGAATAGCTTTTGCTTTCCGGCTCTCAAAGATTGAAATCCTTCTGTATGCACAGCAAAATAAAATAAAATAAAATAAAATAAAAAATTCAAGCAAACAAATATTAAACTTTTTGAGTGGAAAATGGTATTTACATTGGGAATGTTCTTTGCTGTCTATTACTTAAAATTTTTGAGACCATTGAGCTTTTAGATGAACTTCCAAGAAGCATTGTAATGTTGCTCCATGTACCTGAGTTACTGGATTTTAAGAATACTCTTCCAGGGTACTTTGGTTAAGAACTTCTTAGTGATGAAAGTTCAGTCTTGACATAGACATGCTTTTCAGAAATATATTAAAACCCAAAAAATCTAAAACCAAATTAAAACTGTGCAAGATATTTGTATTTTCCTAAACAGTGTAAGGCTGGAGCTGTCTGATCCTAAGTGAGCTTTTAAATCTCTGTTCATGCAGGCAGACATTTATCCTTTGAAGATATTACTTGTGGAAGCCAACTTTAGCTTGCTTCAGTGCATGGAAAAGTGCAGATGGCTTGAATTAGGCCTAGCTAGGTATGCAGTAGACTGTATTTGTAATTAGCCAAA